AGCCAGACACTCAGTCAGTTCTGGGCTCTGCATCTGATTTCCATGTCGTGTGAGCCCGGGTCCTGATGAGTCTGGCTCCGTCATGTTCCTGTTCCCCCTGCCGGTTCCGACCCGGTTCCTGGTTTTAATCTCCTGGATAGATCGCCTGGCCATACTTGTGTTTTTGGATTCCCCATCTGGATTACCTTTGGATTGTTTGCCTCGGCCACACCTCCCCCGTGCACCAGCGCACTTTGGACACGCCCCCCTGTTGTCATCCCCGTATTCCTCCATGACCTTTTTCCCCAGTGTTTCCTCACTCCATCCAGACGGATTGTGTCGTCTGCATAGGGTCTGGAAAGAACTGTTTGTGACACTGTAAAAATGTAAGGTGTTCTGCTGATGGTGGAAACATGCACTTTCAGTGGGTTATCATATTGACATTGGTTACCTTCATACTCTTAAACACTGCTGTAACATATTAAATTATAAATTGATAAAGACTGTGTAGCACCTTTATTCAGTGTTATAGCTATCACAACACCAAATAAAATCTATGCAAGTTATTCATTAAAAAACATAAAAGCCTGAGTTTAACTGAAGAGCCCAAAGTATTTTGTTTCATGTAAGTAAATATTTTTCCCCTCAAATCATTGATTTGAATTCTAAAGGTCAGGATAAAGTTAAATTAAGCAATATCAATGTTGTGGTAAATAGAACCCCACAGTTAAATATTATCTTCTTTAAACTGAAATGTGAAGCATTATGTAAGCAACAAATTGTTAAGCAAAAACAAATATAAAAATAAAATTATATTAGCAAATCACAAAGGAAATACTTTAGTAAATTGCAAGGGAAATTTAACTTGGAAATACCCATTGCAGGAATTCTTGACACATTTGGGCTGAAATACCACCATAACTCTAACAATTATTTGTTAAACCTAATTTAGTCTTGTGATTTTCTGACAAAAAAGACAAAACTGACAAAAAACCTCCATGCAATTCCTGTTATCAGACTTTACAGAGGGGTTTCATATAAAAGGAGGCATTGTTTAAAGTCTTGGCTGCAGTCTTAGTACAGTCTTAGCACAATCAAAAATTGTATAATTATCAGATATGATTCTGAATATAATATTTTCAAAAACTCACACGGCTGTTAGAAGTTTGGAAATGTATTTTGTTTTTGTAAAAAAATTGGTAAAAATTGATTTTACAAAAGGGAAGATGCAAATGACATGAAAGAAGAGATGTCATTTCTAGTGTATCATATAATTGTCCAACTAACATAAACTTCTAAAGACATGGAATATGTCATTTATAGGTATGTTTGGAAACCACCTGTGCTTTGGTTTAATTGGCACACACACACCCTAGGGCCAATTTGCCCAGAAGCCAATTAACCTACCAGCATGTCTTTGAACTGTGGGAGGAAACTCATGCAAACACGGAATGATTATAGTCTCCATACAGATAGCGCTTCAGTCTGGAATTAAACCCAGGGCCCCAGCACTGCAAGACAGCAGTGATAACTACTGTGCTACCCTACCGCACATCTTATACCAGTTCACTTCAAATCCTGTAGTCAATAAAGACCTCTTAGCTGGTTTACATTCAAAACGTTTTTATAAAGGGAAGAAACTAAGACGATTAGTGCTCTTAGGTGATCTGTTTCCTTTAAGCAATTACCGTGTAAACAATATATTTTCGGGGTTCACAAATCTCTTAAATTATCAAATTAAAATTCCAAATTAACAACGCTTTACCACACTTGTTTTCTGTGAATTGATTTCTATCTGTAACCTCAATATTAATCCTTCTCTCTGTGTGGTAGATGCCTTGGTGGTGGATTAATCCTACCACACACATAAAGATCTTGCTGGTGATCATGATAAATTCAGAACAGTAATGCAATACAGGATTGTGACACAATAAAACTAATGAAATCTCCTATGAGACTAAACATAATCATAGAACTGCAAATATCTTTATAAAGTAACATACATTAAGAGAAAATCTTTTAAAATCAGAACAAAACCAACTATCTTTCTTATTTACACAGTAAAGAACTGGATCGATGATTTTGTTGTTCATTTACAGAAATGTGGTAAGTCATTAAATTAAATTTTGAATGAATAAGCCTTTCGGGTTTTTAAAATTTTTCCATTCCTCTAAAATTCCCACAAAGAAACTGTATTTTTTAATTTGCCATATATATATATAAATAAGTCTTGAAGCTATCAAACCATGCCCTCATTAAGTAACTTCCTTATTGGCGGAAAACCAAACTTTACTTGTTGTCCTTTGTCTTTTATTGCATGTGTGGGTGATATCCATCTTTCAAAGAGAAAAGGGAAAAGGAAAGAAAAGTATAGCATAGTATAAAAGTAAAGATGAACTGAATTAGTTTTTTGTGTTCTTCATTTAAGTGTTGTTCATACTGTTCAATTGTTCAATAATTTTCATTGTTCAAAATTGTTTAATGTACTGTATTTGACTGTCTTTATTATTATTATGACATAGATGAAGATCAGATCACATTTTAGGAGCCATTCATGCAGAAATCTAGCTAATTCCAAAACACACAAACTTTTTCTCACAACTATATGTGTAAAAGCGACAATAGTAATAAACATTACCCAAGAGTCAATAAAATGTGTTGATTGGAAAATTAGAACACGCAGAGCCCATCAACCCATCAACCTTAAATTCAGGAGAAAACCCAAATTCTTCATAACAATCATCCTGAAAACTACAGTACCACAAGGTGGTCTGAGAACATCACATGTCACCTTAACCTTAACCTAAGACAAATGACCGGATTACAGCAATACATTGACCCAGATTTCTAATTGTAAATTGGACATTATTCATTGTTTCTCTAGGTTAGTTGATAAAATCCACTGAAAAACAAAATCTTGTCATTAATTCAAGCCAAAGAATAGGTACAGATGTAAAAAGGTCCCATTAACATATATTTTTAACAATTAGAGTTTTAATAATTATTTTTATCATTTGCTTTACCACCTTTTCTTAAACTACTTATACTTATAGTACAGGATATTTACATGTTGTAGGAGACTACAGCCTGCAGCCAACTCCTACAGTATGTAAGATCAAACCCCTGGACTGGTGCTGTTTTTGCAGCTGAGAGCAAATACCATTTCAAGCCAAAGCATTTCTTCTCCCATTTGAAGATAAAATGTCCTCAATGTTCATTTTCTCTGGCTTTATACGAGACACAGTATAGCTGTTGTAGGAATGGATAACATATTGTATGACATTAAAAAATACTGAGTTTGCATTCAGGGAAGAAAAGACAGTCTGTTTTTGTATGAAACCTACTGTAATTACAGGTCCATTAAGGGTTCAAGAAAGACAAAACTGCTAACTCTTGTCTGTCAAAAACCAAAGTCAACAGATAATATCAAAAAGGTTGCTGATTTGATATTCTGCTGCTTTCAACTTCAGATACCATATTTACGTTAACTGGAAAATCAGTAGAATTAGCACAAAGGACTGTGCAGATCATGCCATTACAAACATGTGGAATTACCAGATGAGCTCTGTTTATAGAATAGTCCGTTATTTTCTATTTGAGGATTTCCAAGAGGAAACATTAATAAAAAATGCATGCACAAGTTAATGCTAATGTAAAACTGGTAACTACTGGTTTAAGTTATAGAACTACAGGGATTTAAAACACGTTTACTCTTCAGCAGGAATTACTCACCATTGATTACTGTAAGTAGCCAGTTTAAATCTTTTATTATTTTAGCTCTGAGCTGATATCATACATATCATAGAGACTGTGAACTCAAAGTAGTAGATTAACACTAGCATGTCTCCATAATAATTTAAAAGCTCTTTGGTTAATACTTTTAATAATATTTGATTACTCTTACCATTGTTCTATTCTTCACTCAATAAAAACCACTTTAATATTAGGACCAGTTGATTTAGTAATGCTAAAAAGATCAGATTCGTATTGCACATATATGGACATCAGGTTTGTATTCATATTCGTGCAGTAAAAGCAGAATTACACAGAAAAGACTCCAGGTTTATCCGTCAAAATCATTTGGGTCAGCAATGGTCAACCCGCCTTCACTTGAAAATGAAAGCCCACGTGTTATATCCTCTGTGAACGCCGTCGATTATAAACCGAACAGTTTGGGTATTTTTGTTTTGTGTGCATTTTTAATTTCAGGTTACTGTACCTTTTCGTCACTAGGAAACAAGAGCTTTGCCACCCACAACGAAAATTCTCGAAACAAACAGCGAACTGTTATGCCAATGGCTTAGTAAGTAGCTTAAACAGAACCGTAATTATCCGGACCCCAACCTGTAATCACACACACACACACAAACACGCCGAGGTCCTCACATAAACATATTTAATATTTTTTAATCCCGTCATTCTACAGTTTGGGGAAAAAGAACCGCTGAACCCGAGCCAGAGGACGCGGGTACCTCCACAACCCGAACTACAGCAGCCACCCCCACCAACCTCCACGTAAAGTGACGTACAGTATGCGACGTTCGGCCGCTGCTCAGCGCTCATTATAAAAGGGGACAGGACTGCCGTCAAGCCGGTGAGAGCTGCAGAGCTGCACGTCTTATTCTGGGGGGTAGGGGAGGGACAAGGTAGAGAACAGTAGACGTTTCAACGTTTGGTAAGTTACTTGAGGTAGCTACGGAGATGTAAAAGGGGCTAAATCATGTTGGCTCATCTTCGGGAACCAGACTGTTTTGTTTTTTTTTTCTCCCTCGTGGTTCAACTCGTACGGTTATGATAATGTTTAAATCATAGTTTCAGTAATTATTGTTATACGCTTAAATTCGTGCCTATTAATAGCATCCTTTGATTGCGACGCAAGACAGAAGGACATTCTGCACACTGCATAACAGCTTGGAAGCAAAAAGGTTTTCTTTTCTGTGTGCTTAAAGTGGGCGTTCGGGTGTCCTCATTCAGTCTGTGCCTGGATGCGCGATCTATTATATTTCTTGTAAGGGTTATTATTTTTGCTGATTTATCTTGTGAAGAGGTTTTTGTTCCGTCTGAAACGAGACGGTGAATATGTCACGGTGAGGAACATGCCCGGTATACGTCACTGTGGCAAAAAATAAGATACTACAGCAGTTACCTGCGGGTCCAGCTGAAATACAGGAAAAAGGAAGCTAGAGGTTTTAATTTTGAAACAATTGGGATTTGTGTGGATAATGCACAGAATAGCTGGTATAACGAACAGGATATATTCTCCAGTAATTCACGAGGGTACATCATACTTTCTTTCAAGCTGCAGTAAATATTGGTGCCTAAAAAAAAATGAAGTATCCGTAGCACATGGCAGGAAGTACATCGATTGACCTTGACTCTCCAGACCTACAGTAAATGAAGTGACGCTTTGAGACGTTTAATGGAGAAAAGCTTAACGCCCTGTACAGTAAAATATTAAATATAATCTTAAATATGTTTTCTTATTTAATGTTTCTTGTAAGATAAAGACAATACAGAAAACAACAACCGGAAATGGGCCCGGGGGAAAAACGGGTCCTTTTTTGGCCTTAAGAGACTTCTGTCTCGTCTTTTTTCGTCTTTGAGATTAAGATTAGCGAATCGTGTTGCTTTTCGTTTTGCGCAATATTAAGGTTAACAACATTTATTAGCTGTCTGGGCAGATACAAAGGAAATATGTCCACATCACAAGGTTCTGTGAAACTATGTGCTCTTTCTATTTGATATATAGAAAATGTATTTCTGAAACGTAATTGAATGAAGAGGGGGTCATTGTAATGGAAATGGGGCTAAGGGCTTGCTGGGGTTTGAAATGTCACCGAGGCTGGAAACAGACATAGCCGGACTTGACCATGAGGTACCTCTGATGTCCTTGAAGGCCACTGGTACATGTCCTTTCCCCTGCAGTACAGGAGGGGTGTTAGTGTAGCTCTAGTCACAACAATTGTCTTTGTATATAATAATTCACTAGATTCGCACTTTACCGATCTGAACATTAACTATATCGTGAACTAAGACACGGGGGGAAAAAAAGAAATCTGCTTTATACAGTATGTAACGTTTAGCTGCCAGCTTTTTTATCAGCTTTTATTTTTTTAAAGACAAGTTGGACTTTTTTATTTCCTTGTGTGAGCTGCTCCCTTCTTCAATTTTTAATTAGATTTTGAGGCTTTTTTTAAGATGTCTAATTTTAATACTTTTTTAGACATGGCAATATGTGAAGTACAAAACATTTTTATTATACATTATTTTATTATTAAGTTTAGGAAGTCTAGCTGGACTTTTGTTGTATAAATAATAAGTATTGAAAAATTACCGATACTGTACACATTTCTTAAACGTGCACTTTTACAATACTGACACTTAAGAGAAACTTTCATACGTTTCTTTAAAGTTTAAAAACTGAAAACAGATTTAAGTAAATATACTTAACACATTGGTTGCTGTGTCTCATTCTAGCTAATATTAACATTCTTTATGAGCAGATTTGTTAGGCTCTTGGATTTCTTCCATGAATAATGTGGAATCTTTGAAGTAGTGTCCCGTGTTAACTCACATGATTTGTCACAATCATGGAGCAAAAGATACAGTGGTTTTTCTTTTATGAAAGGCATTAACCTTTGACCAAAATCTCAGTCGTGTTTAAATAATCGCTCCTTTTTCAAGCTGAGCTTTCTCAAGCCCCTCTAAGAATTAAGCCAATGAAATATATAAGCTTCAATATAAATACTGTATGTAAGTATTGTCTTGTAACTTTGGAGTTAGGACAATCATCCTTCTAAATACTGGCAGGTTGTGTGATTTTTATAAAGTTATTTTTGCTCTTTTTAGTTTTAAAACCAAATATATTTTTGCTGTAAGATGTGCATGTTTGATAAATGCAGAAATAATCAATTGTTTTATGTCTCTTGGATATAAGAGATTTTTCTAGATGACATTTTTGAGTATTTACAATAAGTATGCTTGGGTTCTTTTCTTATTTCCTGCTTCAGTTTTCCTGATCCATTAAGTAACACTCTTGACTGCTTTCCTGAACTTTACTGCTGCATGTAACAAGAAACTGAGAAAAAATCAGATTTGCCGGGTCTCTCATCTGTGTCCGACACGATAAAAAAAATGCAGTTCCCTCCTGATCGTGCCTTTTGAGAGGGAAATTGATCAAGGACGTGCCGGTATCCCTTACTGGTGTTTAAATATAGTAGTACTCTGCAGTGCTTTTGTGTTCCATACTCCTTTTATTGTGAGGCTGAAGCCATCTCATGCTTGGCAGAATGGACTTCTAAATGTCTGCACCATGGGTTCGTTATGTAATATTAAAAGGCAGAAGGATGTTGTAGTTCCTTATTAATAATTTCCTTAAATGCACAGACGTGCTGGACTCGTTAAGATTGTAGGCTGGGTTCCTAAAGAGCTTTAGTGTATGGGGGATCATCTTGCAGCATGACCCTTGTGCATGCACATCTGGTTTAACAGAAAGGTTCCTCTTGCCTGCTTTTATAATGAATATTGTGATAAGGGTCTGGCCTTGAGCAGTTCTGAAACCTTGAATGATAAGGCTACTCATTTTCTAATGCAACATTGCCTATAAATTGCTTAACTTTTTTGGGGGGTTGGGATGTACAATTTGCAAAACTTGTCAGTTCACTTCTTAGAAGTGAATATAGTTAAAAACATTTTTCATTGGAGAGACAGGCTCGCACAAAACAAAGTTAAAGGGATGTTACTTGCTCATCAGTTCAACAACTAAAAATGATTAGAAATAACAAATAGGATAGATCCTAATGCTGTGTTCGCATTACAGGCAGCATTAAAACACCTCAGATGAATGTTATTGATTTATGCACAAACGGAAAAGTATGGCTTAATCTGGTTAAAAGATTGTGACTGTGCTGGTTGTATTCCTTACTGGAAGGGTGTGGCATCCAATAATCCATATCCCTATCTCTTGCTGGCACCTGTTTAATTGCAGTGGCAAAACCATACTTAACATTATTTAAAAAAAAAGTAAGCCTATAGATTGTGCTACTGCTTGTGCAGGGCATTGACTGCTAGTGAGAATTGCTCTCCACTAATCTTTTTATTTTTTGTTTATGCTTCATGCCACCCAACTCACACAAGCCTTCTTTACCCATAACGGAACAGACCACCCTTTGTGCATGATCCGCCTCTTAAGCATGCTGTACATTAGGGATTTTAAAATGCACTGTAGCTACATGGTATGATATATTTGTGTAAGGTATAACCCTGCATTTGTTGAAAGTTATAAATTGTCCATACAAGCCTTAAATATTTAATGTTTTATAGTTTAGGTTTTTCCTTAGTGACTTAATAAGAGGCACTGGGTGGGGAGGGGGACATGTAGGGCAGACTGGTGATTTACAGGGATTAACTCAAACTTGGTTAAAGTTCACAGGCAATGAATGAGGTTGGTCACTAACCAAGAGGATGAGTGAATTAATGTTAGTGTCCATAATGTAAAGCAAATTCTTACATGGTATATTCTGTAGAAGTTGTGATGGTGGTTTCTGGGGTTTTTGTATAAATAAAGGAAGTGGAATTTGGCAGTTAAGGTACTCCTGCAGCAGAGCATCCTCATTTCTGTGTTTGAGGGATCTTATCATTTGGAAGCTTTATAGATGCTTTGCAGTACTCGCTGTTTATATGTTGTGCATGTACATTAAGTGGATCAAATGACACTTCTGTAATGCACTGGTTTTCCCCATGGAACATTAAGCAACTGCAGCCCACCCTTCATTCTGTGGTAATGCATTCTGAGGTTTGAGCCAAGTTTCACTGCATTGCAGTACAGGCACTTTTGCTTCTTTGATTTAAGTGTATAATTTTGAAGATTAGTTCCTGTGAGTTTTGCATGTGTTCGTGAAGGCAGCTTTACCTAATAAGTGTTGACAGTTGAAAGTCGTTAATTATTTGTTCACGATGGTTGATGCCTCATTGCACCAATAAACATTATAACCTGTTTTCCCACAGCTCTAGCAATAGTATTTGCAGGCAGTGAGAGAAATATTTTCTATCAAAACATGCAATCTTTGGTGACAGGAGCTTTTGGAATTTAGGATCTGGTCTAACTTGTATGTTGTGAGTTTTGATATTTACTATTTGTGAAGGATTAAATGGAGTTGTGCCCCCTGGTGGATAAGTTATTAAACTCTTGGAAGCTGTTCGGCTCGACTGTAATGTACCCTTAATTTAATCAGTGTCTAGAATGTGTTATGGCTTCAAAATTGAAGAATAAGCAACAAAAATCAATCCAACACAAAAAAAAAAACCTGTCCTTGAAGAGATGGAACATACAGGTTGTGTAGCTGGAGCTTTGAGTCACGTACCCTGTGCTGAAAATGGAAGATGGTAATTTAATACCATCTGGTGAGCTTTGAGTAGGACTTGTATTTCATTAAGAAACTGTCATCAAAAGTAGTCACACTATTTCTGTTTTATGCTACTGTCCTTATTTTCGATATCAAGTCAAAGGATGTATGTGCTAACGGTATTTCCCCTCAGGGGTTTCTTCTGTTTTTTTTAACAAATGTGGTGACTTGCTTTTAAGCCAGGTCATTATCCAGTGAGCTGACATTTTTGGTTTACAACATATAAAGAAACAAGCAGCGGAATTTGCATCTGTCTTTACAATCAGATGTGAATATTATAATTGGAATTTTACTGCACTGATTACACGTTTTACAAATGTGTAGCATTGCACTTTAAACTAAAATACAGTATTAATTCATTATTTGTTCCTAGTTTGCAGCAGGAGAATGTAAATTGATAACCTTGAACTATAATGTAATTTCTTTTTTTTTTTTCCCCACAGGAGTTATGTACCCAGTAAACGGATAAAAATATTTTGCAGTCACGTAGCGGATTAATCCATTTTAGACTGTATGACCAGCAGGCTTATGACCCAGCTGTACTGTGGTTAAATATTTCTAAATGTAATGTCTGTAGGCTAGAAGATCTTATTTGAAACAAGTCTGCTGTTGCTATGCAGTTTGAGTTGTAAATAAACTCTTCTGTATTGACATTTTAATCTGAAGGGCCTCTAAAATCAGGAGAAAAATATATTAATTACTTTAACTGCTAAATTGATTCCAAAAATAAATGAAGAAGATTGACTTAAAAGTTAGAGATGTTTGTTATTCAAGCAACGATTGCTGTGCTGGTAAAAACATATTCATGCTGAGAAATAAAGATCTTATATAAGCTTTGAGATTATTTTCAATCAGTTCTTGCATAGAAAGTTATATACTGTGTGTTAAACGAAAGAAAGAACTTTAAAAATCAATGACAACACAGCTGAGTTTACATTACACAATGATTTGTGCAGTAAAGCTAGTGGTGAGCCAGACGTGCAGTAGAAAGTTAAAGATGATTCAAATGTAGTTTCAGCTATTAACTCTTCTGTAAAAAAACAATTCGAAAAATTGTTGGTATCATCCAAAAAAAACATTCCTTTATTTTGTCTTCTTGCAGCCAAGACTAACAATTTGGGTCTTTTGAACTGTTTACATTTTAAATGCCTTTTGCCCCATGTTTTTTTCCTTTGAAATGGGAATAGAAAAATGCTTGTTGGAGACTTATGTGCTTCAAATCTTTCCAGGGCTTTTAATGTTCAAGGTGAATTGATGTTTATTTCTTATTTTTCTTCACAGGTTGCGAGGTCCTGTAAAACCTACAATGGATCAAGCAAGATCAGCAATATCAAATATAGTAAGGCCTTTGTTTTCCAGTCTTTCTTATATAATCAACAATGCATCCCATAACAAATGAAAAATGAAACTATCTCTTTTGTACTCAAGCTGTTTCCTTAAGGCGCAGCTTCATTGATTAGGCAATCAGTCTTGCTTCCTGTCACAGTTTTTCTGGTTACACTCTTGTGAAACACCTTTGCTTCTTAGTTACGGTTCGTCTTCACTTTGGCACTGGAGGAGTTGAGTCATCATTTAATGTTTTCAGGACCTTCAGGTATCCATGCCCCTATTTTTTCAGTGTAAGAACTAAAAAAAAAAAAAAAAAACCTCTTAAGAACTGTCACTTGTTATTATGATGTACTCTTAGGTTTTTTTCTAATGCATCACATCGCGCTACCTGCCCACCTAATTCCTTACGGGGCCCGGAAGCCTATGCTGGGAAGCACTAGCTGTAAGGCGGGATACACCCTGGATGGGACACCAGTACATTGCAGGGCACACACAGACACGGACGCAAACATACACACTCACGTGAAGGCCAGTTTTCTTTGAGGATAGTTTACCTGCCAGCTTGGCTCTGGGCTGTGGGAGGAAACCAGAGCACCCGGAGGAAACCTATGTGAACACGGGGAGAACAAACAAACTTCCCAGGAATGGAACTCGGGGCCCCGGCGCTGTGAGGCAGCAGTGCTAACCATGCTGTGTCACTGGGCCGCCTTCGGTGAACATCATTGTAGCCGATGGCATAAGCAGTAGGGC